TAGGATGCAGGAACATCCAAACTTAAATTATATACTTGGTAAGGTACAGAGACGGTTCAGTGGTTAAGAGCACTTGCTCTTGCAAAGGACCTACATTTGGTTTCTAGAACCTCTGAGTTGGCTCACAGCCACCATCTCCATCTCCATTACCAGGGGTTTTGATGCCCCTACCTGGAAACCAGGCACACACATAGTGCACAGACATGCATGTGAGCAAAACACACATGAACATAAAATAGATACATGTACTTTATTTGAGATAAAGGAGTTAGTTCTATCATATTTATAATAGTTCTTTTTTTTTTTTATTTGTAATTGTAATTGAATACTAGTGATCATCCGAGGCAGACATTTTTCCATTGCTCTTGGTGTTATAACTTGTTTCATTCATCTCAGGGTCACTGTCAGCTATGTCATCAGCCAGGTCTCTAATGAGATGCCAAACCTATGGTGTAACTGTAACATTTATAACCTTTTGTGTGGTTTTTGAGACAGGCTCTGGCTATGTAGTGCCCTGGCTTTGGAGTGGTGATCCTTTGCTCCAGCTTTTCAAGTCCCGGGGTTACAGGCAGGTGCCGTCGTGCCCGACTCAGCACAGCTGCATTGAGAATGACATTTGGGCAACATTCAAACAACAGCAAACAGCCATGCCACTTTGTTTGGTGGCATCCGTGGCTGTGTTTGTGATCCAGTGATAACGCAGAGGGTACACAGAGTACCTGTGATGCCAACTTACAGTCCACAGAGCCTGACGTGGTTACAACCTGTCTCTTTCCATAAAGGGCTGCAAGCCCTGTGATGAGCTAAGCGTGTGTGCAGGCACACTCACGACTTGATGTGCTTCCCCCTTTCCCGTAGCAGCAAAGCCTGCTTCTCATTTAAAAATCTTTCTTTCTAGTCCTTACCTAATTATCCCACCTGCCCACATAACTCTCTTCACTATTTCTCAGCTCAACAGGGCTGCAATTAAGTAGTATTCTGTGTTAGTGTGTGTGTTTGTGTATCTGGGGAATAAACCCTCGCTCATGCTATAAAAGCGCTCTATTACTAAGCTGTAGCCTTAGCTCTTAGGTGTGTGCTTACTACCAACTCTGTTTCACTGTGAAGACCCAAAGCTTGGCCCTTCAATGTCCTGCGTTTCTTTGCATGCACTGAGTAGTGCTCACGCTTTTAAGTCAGGCCGACCTGAATTTTCGCGTTGGCCCCATCCCTCCCTAGCTGAACAAGTGCTATGGATTTCTTGAATCTGGTCATCTGTGGAGTGCATGTATTACAAGGATGAGAGAGAGAGCGTGTGGTCATGCCTAAGATGCGGAAGCACTCCACAGCAGTAGCGCTCGCCAGCGCCTAACCCCTTTGGAATATGAAGCAATGACCTTTGCTCTTAACAAAGCTCATGGCGAGGCAGGGTGACTAAAAGAAAACACCCAGCCAGGAGAAGTGAAACGGCATGGTTCAGCTGGAGCCCAGTCAGACTGCTGCAGCAGCTCAGGGCCTCAGGCAAGATGCTTGACTACTGAGGCTTTGGACAAATCGAACAGACATTTGAGGGCACAGCTGAGCGGAGCGCTGCCTAGGTCAGGCCTCTGTGCATATGGCAGACAGAAGACCACATCTATCCCAGAGATTTTATCTCAGTTTGAGGAAGAAAATGATGCAGACATGGGCTATGTTCCGCTTCTCCATAATGTTTCCTTTCTCTCCTAGGACAGATGATTCTGCGCCAGCAAGTCACATAAAGAGTATTGCGCATGGAAAGTATTGCTGTGGCTCTCAGGGGAAATAAGTTTCTAAGTGCAACAATCTGAAATTAATAACTTTCATATTGGAAGTTCTTTTGACAACATCTGGAGGTGAATCTGGGTGCAATTTTTTACCATCTCAGATTACCCTCCTTGTGTGCTTGGCTGTGTATCAGGCACAGGTCCACGGGACAAGCAATGCATCCTTCTGCAGCCTGCTTGTCAACTGGAGCCCTCTGCAGCACAGCCCCCTGTGCTCTGGGGGCTCCGACCTGGAGGCTACGTTTTTGTTTATTTGTTTGTTTGTTTTTTCTCTCTCTCAGTGTTGTTTGATGTCATTAGAAAGTCAGGGAGAGAAAGAAAAAGCTTTTTAATTTCCAGTGTAGACACCCATTGAATGAAGACAAAATAATCTTGATTTGTTTATTAAAAGCTTAGGGAACTCAGAGGGGAAAAACTAAGAGAGACAAAAATATTGTTACTCAAAACACTACAACTGAGGGTATCAAAAAAAAAAAAGTTGGGAAGGGGGATTAGAAGTGAGAGCTCGATTTTCTCAAGAGCAATTCCTGGGAGAAAGGCTATTGTTTATATTAGGCTATATATTTGGGTTCAAGTGCGAGCCATCTATAGATATTAAGGGAGAAATAAGAGATGGAAGAACAGCAACTCCTCCTTCAGAAAAAGCCTGCATGGTGACAGCAGCTGCTACAACAGCCATATGTGACAGGACAGACATATGTTTTTTATTCTTTCTTACTTACAAATTTAGACAAAGTAGCCTGATTTCTATTTTCCACTGATGATATATGCTTTTACATTTCAAATCAGACTTTCCACCCTCCCCTTCCTTATATAAGGCCACATGGAAGGACATTGTTTGTCTGGTTCACTGTAGCAAATAACATTTAAGCTTTGTCTTTCTGGCCTTGACATGTTGCTCAGAGGTAGGGTGCCTGCCTTGCGTGCACAAGGCTCGGGCTTCCGTTCCCAGCACAGAAGAAGATAAGGATAAGGACAAATGAAAAACGAAAGGGAGTGGGCTGGAGAGGCTGACTGCTCTTCCAGAGAACTCAGGTTCAATTCCCAGCACCCACATGGCAGTTCACACCAGTCTGTAACTCCAGTTCCAGAGGACCCAACACCCTCACACAGACATACATGCAGACAAAACACCAATACACATGGAATAAAAATAAATAAATTAAATAAAAAGGAAGCAAGCAGATTAGCATACATCCCAGCTTAGCTTATGGCTAAGTTTATCTCTTCTCTTAGCATGTAAATAAATATTCAATGCTAATACTTACACATAGGGAACTATATAGGGGCTCAGATCTGGAAAGACACAGACTGAAAAATATACATATCTAGATGTTATTCAAATTTAATTAAAATGTCTATTTTGTGTGTATGGGTGTTTCTCTGCATGTATGTCTGCGTACCTTGTGTCCGCAGTGCTTAGATTCTAAAAGAGGAGTCAGATCTCCTGGGACTGGATTTGCAGGTGGTTGTGAGCCACCACGTGGGTGCTAGGGACTGATCCTAAGTCCCCTAAAACTGCAGCTAGCTAATGCTCTTTAATGGTGAGCTGTCTCTCCAGCTCTACAGAATTTCCCCCTCTCTGTGGCCCTGGGTGTCGTCCTTCTCCCCACCTCCAAAGATCTGCCTCTGCCTTCTGGGTGCTGGGATTAAAGGCATGTGTCACCACTGCATGACAAATTTTTTATTGATTATAATGTGTTCCTATATATGAAAATCTTAGGGTAGTTCAAAACAGCTATGTTTTAAAAATATAACTGATACATAAAGATATATCTAAGGTTAGAGGTTAAGATAGCCCTATTACTCTAACCAACTACAGAGAACTGACTTGGAAAGACTATGAAAAAGAAACAGGAATTGTAACATGCTTTAAGAGGTGAAGGATTCTCCCCTATCCCCCGTCCACTATCCCCCATCGGTGCTGGACCTGTGCATAGAAGCAATTCTAGACAGCTGGACATGATAAAAAGAAACAGCCCCTGATTTGTCTGCTGTATAGCCATATAGTTCATACACTGTAGAATGGAAACCCTGAGAGACAAACACTCTTGCCTCCACAAAGCTTATAATTTAAACTGTGGATAATGGTTAAGAAAGTTGGCTTAGCTCTCTTACTCTCCTCTCTTGTCCTTTCTGCCTCACTTTCTTTCCTGGGCCCCCCCATGAGGTCTCCTTCTTTCCTTTTCCTCTCTATCTCTCCACCTCTATCCAATAAACCTCTTTCATAAAATAACAAAAAGAAAGGAAGGAAGGAAGAAAGGAAGGAAGGACGGAAGGAAGGAAGGAAGGAAGGAAGGAAGGAAGAAAGAAAGAAAGAAAGAAAGAAAGAAAGAAAGAAAGAAAGAAAGAAGGAAAGAAAATTGTCTTGATAGGCTTACATTCCAGCTTTTCTTCTCACCATCAGCTCAGAGTCAGTGGGGAAAAGAATCCGCATGCCCAATTTCCTCATCGTGAACCACTGTTCATAGCAACTCCTGTGTGACGAGAGCCTCTCAGTTTGGTGGGGCTAGCTCTCTTGTCATTGCCTCAGCACACGTTCCTACTATCTGGATAAATCCACCAAGTTTTGACTTTCATACCACTTCTTCAGAGAGTTTTATTTCAGATAATATGATTTTTGTATCAACAGAAGAGCGACTACTCAGCCGTGTACATTAGGCTCTATTAAAAATAATTCAGTCTGAGAGGTTTTGGCGCAGGCCTTCAATCGCTGCAGTGGTAGGCCCATGTCTGTGAGTTCAAGGGCAGCCTGCTCTACAGCGTGAGTTCCAGGACAGCCAGAGCTACACAGAGAAACCCTGCCTGGAAAAACCAAACACCAAACCAAAACAAACAGACAAAAACAAGCAAACAAAAACAAAAACAAAAAACCCCACCAAACCCCCACAAAATTAGGGTCGACAATTATTTTCTATAAAGCGTCAGATGGCCACGCTTGGAAGGAGAAGCGGTGCTACAATAAAACTTTATTTGAGGATATTTAAATGTGAATTTACATACATCCTCCGGGTCTCGACCGGCGGGACGAGGCCCCACCCTGTGGCTGGCTGACCCCGAGCGTCTGAGGATAGCAGCTGGGACAGGAACCTCAGCCCTGCGTGCAGGCGACTTGAGCGGCTCTGTGGGGAAGCCGCGCGGGGGGCGAGGGGGCGGTGGGGCCCGGAGGGGGCGGGGCGGCGCGCGGAGGGGCGGAGCGGCGGCGCAGCGCCGTCGTCGTCGTCCCCCGCCTCCTCCCCAGGGGCCGCGGCGGAGCCTCGGCGGCGGCGCTCACTCCCTGAGCGGAGCGTGTCGGCGTTGGCAGCGGCCATCCACACGCCGCGGCGCCTCCCTCTCTCGGCCTCCCGGCGACCCCCGTTCGCGGCTCCCGCGCCCGTTCAGCTCTCTCGCTCGCCCTCCGTCCCTGAGGCCCGCGGCGCCATGGCCTTGGCGTTGGCGGCGCTGGCGGCCGTGGAGCCGGCCTGCGGCACCGGGTACCAGCAGGTGAGCGGCCCCGGGCCCGCCCCGCCCTCCGCCGGCCACTCGACGCCGGGGCCCTTACAGGCCGCGCCGGGCCTGGGCCGGACCCCGGAGCCTGGGCCTGTCACGGCTCGGGCCAGCCGGGCGGGACCTCGTTAACCCGGTTGCCAGGTCGGGCGGGGCCCGGAGGCCGAACTCGTGGCACTCTGAGGTCTCCGACCTGGAGGCATCGGTTTTGCCTCTCCTCGGCTTTGGTTGGTGTCATTGGAAAGTCAGGGGAAGAGGAAAAGGAGATTAAGCCAGAAAGGTACAGGAAATGGGTTCCGAGGAAAAGATGATAATCACCCGTACGTACCTCCGCCGGGCCGCTGCCCTCGGCGAGGTGCGATTACTCAGGGTTTCGGAGCCTCGTTTCCGTGCAAGCCCATCCCCCTCCCTCTCTTTAAAGGCTCGAGTAAAAAAAAAATAATAATAATAATAAAAATAAAAAAGAGCGAGGGAGGAGCCCGCAGCTTTCAATAGATTTGGAAGAGGCGATGTTTTGCTGGAGAGAGGCCCCAAAATGTAGGGCTATGGTGGCGGCTGCAGGGCGTGTGCCCAGCTGTGTTTTGCACGCTTAGAAATGACGTTTCAAGACACTTAATAGCCTATCTAGGGAGGAAATATATCCAGATGATCGGGTTATTATCTGCTCTGTGATTCTGTAAATTGAGGCCCTGGGGAAAAGAGATTTTTTTTTTTCCCCCTTCTCTGTCCGTGGCTGGATTTTCTCGGGAGTTAAAGACTTTGGGGGGAAGGGGAGAATTAGCGGTATTAATGGAAAACATCTCGTAATTGTGCGCGCTGAGCCAGAGAGTTAATCGAACCGCGGGTAAGTGCTTTTATTTTCGTCAATTTCAAATGTTTTCACCATGACTCGTGTACAGAGATGTCAGTCCTGCTTTTTCGACTTAAAATGGCGTGATTTACTGCGTTGTAGAAATAAAACCAGTACGATTAAAGCGTGTTGCAGATTAACCCTGGCGCGGTCAGTTGCTGGTTTGTTTTGCTGTCTTCAGCGATGTGTTGTAATCCTCCCTTCTTTCCGCCCCCGCCTCCGCCTCTGCTCGGACTCCTGAAATGACTAGTGAAGGATTTAGCCTCGTGGTTTCACACAAACACCCCAAATTGTGGCCGTATAGTCTGATTTTTAATGTCTTCACAGCCTTTATATTGTGTGACCTTGGATGAGACTCTGGGTGCTTCCCTGCTTTAATAAATTCGAGTCACAGATGTCACTAGATTCTCATTAACCTGTTTACAAATCCCCCCCACCTGATAGTGTCAATATTTTCATCCGATTTGGATGGGCAAAGAAGTAGAAGGGCTGTGGATTTCCTTTGTACTCCCATCTCACTGAGCTATGGAGTAATGCTGGTTGACTGCTAGAATACAGAAAATTTGTTAAGAGCATTAAAATTATGCTTTTGCTGGCTTAGTGTTTAGTAGCATTTTAATTACGCAGAATTTAGGTATGTTAGAGATGGTCCATCTTTTTATCGTTAGTCTCGAAGTCATTATTTTGCTGGGCGTGGTGGCTCATGTCTACAGTCCTAGCAGTTGGGAAACTGAGGCAGAAAAATGGGAAGTTTAAGACCAGCCTAGATTGCCGAATTAGTTGAAAGGCAGCCTGAGGTATAGGAAGACCCTGTCTCAACAGCAACAAAATAAATGTGAAGAAATAATCTTCAATAAAACATTAAAAAAAGTGTTCCTAGAAGAAATTATAAACTATGAAAGCCAAAAAAGTCTAGCCAAACACAAGTCTATTCCCATAGTAAGCAAAGTTAATTCATGGGCACATATTCTTGTGGATTAGAGCCATGAAAATATACACAAATGTGGTAAGTGTGCATGTACAGATGAGGGGTACTGTTGTTCATTTACTATGTACTTAGTCACAGCAGACTCGGTTTACATCCATCTTCATTGAATCCTTACAACAACACTTTTATGAGTCAAGGTTTGTTCCCATTTTATAGATGACAAAGTCAACTCTCTAAGGGTCTCAGTGACTTTCTCAAATTTACAAAGCTGCTAAATTGTAGTTACAGGACTAATCATTTACTGACCTGCATAAAAGGATCATGCCTGAAGACTGGCAGTGTCCATTAGCAGACATATATATGTACATGTGTATTATGTACTCATTCATGCATGCCTATCTTTATAATCACACATGGTGGATGTGTCCATAGTCTCAGGCATGTGCATTCACCTTCGTTAACATACATATGTTCTTACACGTATGTATGTACAGTGGCACACAATCGTTAATTGGATTTTCAAATTTCATTTTCTTTTTTTCAGTGCTGAGGGAAGGGCCTACAACCTACTGCCTTATACTTTCTAGGCAAGCCCTGGATCACTAACTCTAACTCTACCCCTGTCAGCTGTTTTTATGCCTGTGTGGCATGTAATTGTATGGCTGAGCCATAACTTACTTACCTATTGGTAGTTCCCAAGAATATTTATAATTTTTTCATTTATTTAAGGTTTTGTGTAAAATAAACATAAAATATACCATATTAACTTGGTCCACACACCTGTAACTGTTCCTTTGTAGTGTGTGATCATAGACTATACATATTTAAAAGGCTTTGAATTATAGAATGCTGGTGAATTGTCCAGGCCACTTGATAGGAACACGCTACACTAGGCCGTCACAAAAGGCTGTTCTGACTTCTTTTGATCTGGTTAATCTGACTGAGGTAGTCCTCCAGCCAACTGACTGTAATGGAAAGCTTTATGATTCATTCAGAGATGCTTACACTGCTGACTTCCTTTGCATTTATGGGTTTATAATTTAGTACAGTGACAGAGTTTATAGATAGGCTGGGCATAGTTTCTCTGGAGCACGATCCCCTCCCCCCGCCTTTATTTTATTTATTTATTTTTTTCTTTTTGCAGATTAAAAACTGAGACTATATCCAAATATGTGGAACAGTGTTTCAGAAAGGTTTAGGTAGGTTCATGGCCAGTTGTGGCTAGCTCAAAGAAGACATTAATTGCTGGTCCTCATTTTCCTTATTGTTATAGATCTTTGCCTTTTTATCATGAATTTTGTTTACCTCATGCCAAATGTTTTGAGATATTTGGATTTGGATACTATTTAAATGGATGGTGCTTCAATATACATTAAAAACGAAGCACAGAATGTGCTGTTTTAGTCACAACTCCTTGCCTGCGGAAGAAGTTGCTTACTTTCGGTCATCACCAGTAAGGCATTCGATGACATCATAAGCCAGGCATGGGGTTACAGCTTTTTGGGTAAAGTTCTCTTGAGTATTCTGGAAGAGCATTTTGATCGATTAGGGAAGGAATGGCACCTCTTTAACAGGAGACACAGTATAATTGTGAAGGCATGATCTTGGAAGGGGGTAGTGCCCATGTGATTGTCCTGCACGTTAGAAAGTTTCAGAAGTTGTATTGTTGGTTATCTCTTTCCTGTCTTGCCAGATTATTTGCTTTATTTGTAGCCAAACTGTTAACTATCAATGAAGATTTGTAAAAGATCTTGAAGCAGGACATAGTGGTTGGTGCACTCATGGGATTTTAGTGCTCTGGAGGCTGAGCAGTAGGATTGTGGCCTCCAGGCCTGTCTGGGTTACATAGTGAGAGCCTGACTTAAGCAAACGTGGGTAGATTGTTTATGGAAGATAGATAAATTGTTTCTTTGAAAATTTTTTAGAATTGTGTAAAATAAACATAAAACATACCATATTAACTTTTTATCCTCTTGCCTCTTCTGGTGTTAAGGATTGAACCCAAGAGTTTTATACAGGGCAACAAAGTACTCTGCCACTGAACACCTCCCACCCTAAGCATTTTTAAGTGCAAAGTCTGCCAGCATTAAATGCATTCCCATATCTGTCTAGTACCCATTAAACTGTACTCCGCCTTGCTTGTTTCAGCCTGTGTCAATTAGATACCAGTGTACATGCAATCAGCTGTTTATCCTTTTGTAACTGTCTTGTTTCATGTGGCATGTCATCAAGGTTCATATAGTAGGTGTCAGAATTTCTTAAGGCTGAACAGTATTTTGTCGTATGTTTGTTTTGAGATGGAGTCTCTTGTATCATGGCCTGACCTCACTGTTTGTATGTATGTATGTATGTATGTATGTATACACGCACATACACATATGTCCATGTACACACACTGAAGCTAACCTTGAATTCCTGATCTTCCTGCGTCCACCTCTCAAGTTCTAGGATTACAGGCTACTGCCGATAGGACTGCCTGTGCTCCATTTTTGGAACTAAATTTGTTTGCTAATGGACATTTTGTCTTTGAGCATAATGCACTGGGAACATGGGTGCACACGTATGTCTTGGTCCCCTTTTGAGGTTTATGAGAATTTGCCCACAAGTGGAATTCCTGGAGGTTTGCTAATTCTATTTTTAAGTTTTCTTAGAATTACTGTTCTGTTACCCATAGCAGCCACACTGTCTTGCATTGTTGCCAACATTGTACAAAGATTCCAGTTTCCCCATATTCTCAACAGCAGTTTGATTATTTTTAATATTTAGTTAGTTAGTTAGTTAGTTAGTTAGTTAGTTAGTTAGTTAGTTAGTTAGTTAATTAGTTATGGCTGTGCTAGGGATGGGAGCCAGGCCTTGTGTGTGCCTGGCAAGCTCAGTACCACTGAGTTCTACACCAGCCCTCTTCTGGGTTCTTGAAAGCAGCAGTCTGTTTGTTGGTTGTAAAGGCATCTCCTTGCAATATTGATTTCTGTTTCCTACATGATTAGTTGTATACAGTATTCTTTTTCATTGCGTTGGCTGTTTATATATTATCTATGTAGAAATGGCTATTATAATTGTTATATCAGACAGATTGCCTTGGAACTCTATGTAGAGCAGGTTTGCTTTGAGTTTTCAAAGTGCTGACTGCCTCTGTCACTTATAAATTGGGATTAAAGATTTAAAGATGTGCACCACCACATCTGGCCTGCAATTATTTTGTAATGGTATTGTATTTTC